ATGATGAATTTGAAATATTGTTTCATTTTTGTTTGTTTGGAACATTATCCTATTACCTCTCCTTTTGAAAACATTGCAAACGTACTATGTGTAGTAAAGGTAGGTTGTTTAAATTTTATATAATGATGTTTTTCTTTCTCTTTGCCCCCCACACCCCCACTATTTTATTGATACTACTTTTCGGGTATAGACTTGCACCTGCTATACATTGCTATCTTTGGCAGAGACTGGAAACAAGTCTGTAAAATTATGTAATGTCTGAAACTTTGTGTTCATGATTAATTAGGTTATCATAAAATGTGTTTTGTGTGTGGAATAACTGGGTCATAGTTTTTATGTGTTTGGCTGCGTACTAAAGCTTTCAGTCTGGATGTAATTATTCCACACTGTTTTCTTTTTAAAATGGTTTTCCGTATTGGTTTTTAGAACACAGCATTCAGTGTGTTCATTTAATAGGTTCAAACTAATGTAGTTGCAGCTATATTGATATTAGTAAATGTGAATACAGAATGTTTAAAGAGCTGTAGTAGGTTTAGCTTCTGTATTGCTATGTGATAATTTTTTTATAGCTGTACCCTTGTTGGTGTGGTTTAGATTTTTGTTTGGCTTGGATGGTGATTTGTGATGCTCTGGAATGTTGGCAACACTTTCTAAAATACAGCTCTACTTTGCTGTATTCCAGAACAGCATCTTTTGTACTCAAAGGTTTACGGTGTAATCCTGTGTATGTAGGGAAAAAGTCCTAGAACTCCCAGCACTGCTTAGCCATTAATTCTGATTGGAGTACACTGGCAGTTAAAGAACTTTTTTTTACTTAAAAACGCACAGGATTGTACTCTTGCTAAGTCATATATGAGATGGGTTAGCCGAAATAGGCTAATCATACAGTGACTGATTAGTGAATTGAGCTGTTTTTTTAGATGGTAATTCTGTTGCTTTCTTAAAGTACTGTACTCAGAAGTATTCTGAAAAACTACTCTGGTCTTTCATCTGGGATGCTTTTCATCATCTTATTGAAACAAAGAAGTCAGATGTCCTAGATGTAAGCATAGATTAGCAATGTTACCAAGCAAAAGAAAGTTAAGGGAGTTTAAAATAAACCAGGCCAATAGATGAAAAGATAAAGTGCATGATTGCTGAAAAAAATCAGTCCAGGACTCATGAAATTCAGGATTTCTGTTCCATACAGAATCTGGGAATATAATTTTGCTCCTAGAATTTTCAGAATAGGGCCAAAATGTTTTCTCCTTGACTAGGGCTCTGCAAATTCTGGCTAGTAGCTTGTAAACTATATTCTATTAGTCGCCATGATTCTGTAACATTACAGAAAACATTTTTAGAACAGATAGCCATTTCAGTAGATTTACTGAATTATATATTCAGAGAGATGCTAGGAGCTGAATGGGATATAATAGCTATAAATAAATTAATATTGATAACTAGTTAAATGAGTATGTTAATATTGGTAACTAGTTAAATGAGT